AGGTCCCCTGTTACAATAGTGTTATTAATTATATGGGTTTTCATGCCTGTTAAGATTTGTCTTATATAGTTTGGAGCTCCGATATTTGGTGCATAGATGTTTATGATTGTTATCTCATCCTCTTGCAGTTTTCCGCTGACTATTATGTAGTGACCTTCTTTACCTCTTTTTATTGTTGTCGGTTTGAAGTTTACATGGTCTGCAAAACTGCCGGTATTTAAATTAGATAATTATAAGGGCATATCACTTCCAAGGTAAATCAGTTTTAAAATGATGTTTGCTTACTAAAGTATGTTATATATCTGTGTGAATAGACCAAGATGAAACCAACTGTTCTATATAATTGATATGCAGTAATAAAAAATTAAAAATAATAGTATTTGCACTATGCTTATAGGATACAGCATAGTACAATTTTTTTCTGTCAGATTTGATACCCCTTTAGATATTATTATAGTTTTCTTTTATCCCAAAATTCCCATTTCTGACCCCAATTTGCTGTTTCTTGTCTAAAATGTACAGTGTATTGTACTGCTGTTTCTTGTCTAAAGTGTACAGTGTGTCTATAGGCCCTACTGGCAAGGTAAGTGTGCCCAACTAGATCCATGACATATATCACTTTCTTTGCAATTCTACTACTTCGTGTGAAAATCGTACATATACAAACTTGAAAATATGTTACATGCTCTAGAACTCATGACAGGTTAAACCTTATTTAGTATCCAGTATCCCAAGCCCTGTTTGGTATCTAGTGCTTGCCAGTTTCTTATGGTTGTGTGTTGCTCCTTAACAGAACTGTGATCTGGAACAACAGAGCATCATTCACATTGTGCAGAGACCAGAAAAGAAAGATCAGGAAACAAATCCACCTGGAGGGGACAAGGCCAGAAATACTTTGGGAGCCTCTTCCAGGGAACCCATGAGCTTGACACGGGTGGACCTCAGCAGCTCCGTCCTGCCTGCAGACTCCGTGGGTCTGGCTGTCATTCTGGACACTGAGAGCAGGAATGATTCAGCAGCAGTCAGAAGCCCAGGTAATTGCAATGAATTGTCTATTGCTAGGAAAGTACTTCGCTGTTTAGTGAGGTCTCTATGGAGAGTGGCCTCAGTGTACACATGTCTGGTTATGGAAGTTTTGGATCAGTCTGTCAGTCACTGCAAGGAGATTCCTCTAGATGGAGAACAGTAAGATAAAACTTGAGGTAAATACATTTATAATAGATATGATGTAACAGGTTTCAAATTTAAAATGAACATAAAAGGTAGCCAAAGAAGGTGCCACTATCGTAATAATAGTATGTTGTTTTTTTTGTGCTGAAGAGCTGAGATGCTAGGGACATATGATAAGTTGTCTTATGTTTTGAGTATATGATTAACTTGTATGCATTCCCCTCTCACATTCAGCTTTTCTTATCTTCTTAAAGTATATGTTGCTTAATTCTTCTTATGATACAGAGAAACCTTTAAAAATAGAGAAAAGTTTTTAGATATAACATTAGCCACTTTAAGTGTTCTTGGTGAACATATAATATCAACAAAATCCTGAGTCTGAAGACAGTCTTGTTTATCTGTATGTTGCAACCCGTTCTAAATGGTTTTTTGGTAAAGTTACTGTGTGAATTTATGCTATTATAACAAAATACTCAAGACCAGTAATGCATAAAGAACAGAAATGTGTTCCTCAATGTTCTGGAAGCTGAGCATTTCAAGATCGAGTTGCCAGAAGGTTGGGAGTCTGGTGAGGGTTTGGCTTCTGCTTCTAAGATGGCTCTTTGTTGTCCTTTCCTCCTGTGGTGGGGATGAAGGCTGCATCCTCACAAGATGGAATAGGCAGAAGGGCAAAAGGAGTGACTGTTGTATCTAATATTTCTCAAAATAACCAGCTCAAAATTATCTTTACACCACAGACATATTTCTGGGTAGAATATTCTTGTTTTCTATGCACTTAAGGTGGAATACTCAAACACTCAAGTCATGAGTTCATTTTTATGACATTAATCCCATTCACAAGAGCAGAGCCATCATGGCTTAATCACCTCTTACAGGGGTGACATACTATTATTACGGTAGTGGCACCATCTCTTAATATTGTCACATCAGCTACTAAGTGTTAAAATGACTTTTGGAGGGAAAACAGACAGACCATAGCAGATGGCCATCCTTTTGTAATTTGGAAATATTATGTGCATTTCTTAATTTTTTTATTTCCAATACAAAGTGAAAGATAGTACAGGGTTAATTTTTAACTATGTGTACAGAAATCATGACATAACTGACTTCATGCAGTAGAAGTTTGTTTACTTCACAAAGGTGCCTGGTCACAACAAGCAGTCCTGGACTGGTCTAACCTGAAGCATGGCAGGGTGTCCTGGACCAGCAAGATGAAAGGCCAAATAAAAGGAAATGCGTTTGCTGAAATTATAGATAACATTTAATAATGTTTTAGAAATCATAACGAGCTTGCAGGAAAAATATAATTTCCAGGGACAAATGAAACAACATTGCTCACATCTGTCTTTAAATAAAGGAATGGATAAACTCAGAATCTACATGAATAAGCTATTGTCCTGATAGCCTCAAGTGATTGTAGATGAAAGGAATACCTCCCATATGCTGAAGCTCAAAAGTGTTCATGCAGTCATAGGTGCAGCTTTACAAAGGTGATCAGATTATGGGGTTGATGCAGTGGACATGCTGTTAAGAGGTGAGGACAGTCAGAAGATGAGGGTAAGTGGGTACATGACCTGGAAGCATGTGTTTTCCTTCCCAGCACCTTGCTTGCTCTCTGCTTCCTGGCCACAAGGAGGAGGCAGCTTTCCTCTCCTGTTCCTTTCTGCAGTGCCATTTCTGCCCTGGAGCTGCTGATCATGGACTATAACTGGGAGCCAAAATGTCCTTCTCCTTACATAGCAGGAGTCGGCATTGTGTGCCAGCTACAAGAAAGTGTCTGTGACAACATCTCTGCCTTGAGTCCAGCAGTCATAGACTAAATCCATGAGAGTAAACCTCCCTCAGCTTGTGGGTTCTGGGTGTGGTAATGAAAAAATGAGTTTTATGAGAAGTAAAGTATAAAAAGAAAAGAAAAATGAAACCTAAAAGAGAAAACAGTCATAATGGGAAAAAGTAGCTGTTAAAAAATATTAGCTATTGGTGTGAAAAAAATCTTAAATGTTGGTTAAAACAGAAAATGAGGGAATGATAAAGAGAAAATTCCGTTAAATATGGACCTGAGGGAAGGATACAGGTTGTGACATGGATGAAATATAAGAGTTTAGCAGACCAGGAGTTTGAAATGAGAGCGCCCAACATATGTTCCTGTTCTGATGGGAAGTCTATGATACGCAGACAAAGAATGGGAGGAGAGAAAATATTCTAGAAGAATGAGCATTTTTCAGTACAGATAAATCCTCTGGTTCAAGAGGCTCAGGCAAGATATATAAAGCCGTGCATTGATCTTGATCAAGGTAAAAATAGACTTACTTCATAAAAGAAGCAAGACACTAAAGACAAAGAGATCTCAAAAACAAATGAAGAAGAAATTCCTTAGACTGGAACAATAATTTGGATGGCTCCCGACAGCAACAAAGAAGAAAACGGTAGTGAAGTAATGTCAAACTTGTGAGAGGAGCATCTTTTCACTTAGGATTCATACTCAGCAAAGCTATCGATTAAGAGGAACATGTGTTTTGACAGGAACATTGAGATGATTCACATTAATTTGGAAGAAATATTGAAGTATTTACTACAGGAAAAAATGAGTTTGAACCAAAGATGGAGAAATGCAATGCAAGGGGTAATATTCAAAAAACTAAAGTAAATAAGAATCAATCTAAATGAGTATTGATGATAAAGTATTTTCAATTAGTTTGATGGGTACAAAAACAAGGTGGAGTCAAAGTAGCAGATTACAATGACATTTAATAAAAAACTAGAATAACAAATTCACATGGAATTATGCTTGACTTCTCACTATGATCAGAAAGGTGAGTATTAAAGCAACAGTGTTATATCATTGCACCCTTCCCTGATGAGCAAAATTTAAGTTTGACATATTAAGTGTTGGTTAGCATGTAGGACAACAGGTACTTTATTATTATGTATGTCAATTGTGCCAGCTACTATAGAAAGTGATTCTATAACTTTGCAGTTTTTGGTGAAATTTAAGAGATTCTTATTCTGTGGTAAGGAAATAGCTACATACATGATCACAACGTCATCATTTGAGGTTATAAAAAATAGAAACAATGTAGCTGTCTTTTTCTTGGGGCAGGCATTGGGGGTTGAACTCAGGACCTTCTTGCTGAGTTACATCCCCAGAACTTTTTAAAATTTTGAAACATGGTCTAGCTAAGTCACTAAGTTCCCCAGCCCAGGTTCAAATTTGGAATCCTTCCGTCTCAGCTTTCCAGAGTGCTGGCATTACAGGTGTGTATGGTCACACTTGGATACCATAGCTGTAGTTAAATAGGGGAATAGGCAATCAGTGTTTTAAAATAGGCTACAAAAAAACTAGGATAATTCCTTATTTAAAATAAATGGCCTGTATCTGTATCAACATGAATAAGGCTCCAAATCAAAGTGTTAAGTTTTCTAAAAGGTTGTGAATTTGCAAGCATATGTTCAGTAAGAAATGGTCTGAGAAAAATTTAAAAACATAAACCCCAAATATTTGTGTACCTTGTTCAAGGTTCAGCTGACTGTGTGTTTAAGTCACCCTTTCATTGCAACATCAAAACCCACAAGTTGAGGGAGGTTTACTCTCATGGATTCAGCCCATGACTGCTGGGCTACAAGGCAGAGATGTTGTCACAGTCACCTTCTTGTAGCTGGCACACAATGCCAACTCCTGCTATGTAAGGAGAAGGACATTTTGGCTCCCAGTTATAGTCCATGATCAGCGTCTCCAGGGCAGAAATAGCATGGAAGGAAACAGGAGAGGAAAGGAAGCAGGAGATGAAAGCTGTCTCATCTTTGTGGCCAAGAAGCAGAAAGCAAGCAGCTGGGAAGGAAAACATATGCTTCCAGGTCATGTATCCACTTACCCTCATCTTCTGACTGTCCTCACCTCTTAACAGCATGTCTATTGTATCAGCTCCATAATCTGATTGCCTTTGAAAAGCTCTGTCTATGATTGCATTTTGGGGGTACATTCTCCATTCAATCTAAAGCAGACATGGTAGAAGGGTGTGGCAGAGTCAAACTGCTTATTTCAGAGTGGCTGGAATGCAGAGCAAGGGAAGAATGCCAGAGCAAAAGGGGGAAGGGACCAGACATAGACTCCAAGGCCATTCTCCCAGGAACTAAGCAATATTGTGTTCTCCCAGTCCTCAGGGTAGATCCCAGAGCCAATCAAGTTGAACTCTACCTAACACATGCAGTATATAACATGCAGTATATTTTATCTAAAAAGGATATCCTTGAAAGTTAAAGGTGGCATTCAGACTTCAGTAAAATTGTATATTTTCAAATCTCTGAGGTATTTATGTATTAACCAAGTCACCTTGTTATGCTAGTAGATGTAGAAATTAGTTATGTAATATGATTTTTCAAAAATTCTTCCTAAAAATAAAAAATAATCTCATATTCTTCAAATCAAAATTAAATCCTTTTGCTCATCTCCACATTAACAATATTAGCAGAATAATCATTGTATGTACATATTAACACAATTTTATCAGTTTCCTAGGTATCTGAGTCTGCTATCTTGCCACTGATGTTTACTTGAAAAATCAAAAATAATGGACAGTCTTATTATTTTATTTTATCATGAAAGTTCCTTTTAGTCTTCAGAGTTTTATTTCATGCTGAATGATTCTGCAACTATTGACATGCTTAGTGATTCTCTTGATGTGCTTAATGATTTTAGAACTATTGATATGCTTAATGATTCTGGAACAGTTGACTTTCTCTCTAGACTGTAGAGAGAAATACTTTCACTTTAGAAAGTATTCTTTTCTCTGGGCTAGTAGAAAATTCTACCAGTGTCAAAATTTGTCTTTCTAATTTAAATTGAAATGTAGAATTATTTCCACCC